CCGCTCGAACCGACCGGGCGGTCGGGCTGGTGCCGACCGGTCGGCTTGGAGGGGTCGGTCGGTATAATGCGGCGTTTGGTTATTGTACTGGGTGTTTCTGGCTTCTGAGTCTTTTCGCTTTTCTCAGGAGGTCGGGTTTTTTGTCGTAGGGTCTTGGCGGGCGGCTAGGGAATCTTTTGCATTCATGTATTTTTGGACTTTGGAGAGTAGGGCTGCAATGGAGGTGGGGGGGTTTTTTTAGAGGGAGAAAAGGAAATCAGATGACCGTAGGCCGGCCATAAAAGCCGTAAGGATGACTTTGTCATCGTTTTTCGCTACCTGCAAGGCTTCGATGTTGAAGCGGGTAACAAAACTGCGCAGCGATTCCCCCTCGGTCTGACGAATATTGAGGAGTTGGGTTGCTGGACGTCGCTGGCGTTGGGCTCCTATGAAATGGCTGAGGAAGGAGTCACTGAGGTGCTGGAAAGTGGAGACGAAGTCTGCTGGGAGTTAACTAAACCAAAGTCGAGCCGACCCCTTGAGTGTTATGGAGAAAGCCTGATACATGATCTCGTCGAGAATGCATGGAGGATCATGAGGGTTCTATAGGTCTCCAAGTGATCGACTGGGTCTGTTGTATTGTCGAAAGAGTCGATGGTGGGCATTTTGAACTTAGGAGGGAGAGGTTTGTCTCTGATGGAGGCAACAAACGGAGAGTTGGCTGTGGTAGATGGTTTATGTTGTATGTTCTATATAACCCATTAGAGTTGGAGCTTCATGGCTCAGAGTTCTGCGTCCCAGAGAGGAATGTTGTCACCACCGGAGGGGAGCGGGGGCTGGACGCTGTTGGCCTTCCCTTCAGGGGTTGGTGCTGGGATCGATGGTTATGGGCCCCGGAGTGGCAGGTTTTTACCTGGGAAGGGGGTTGCAAGCCTTCCCAGTTGGGTGGATTAGGCTGCGGGATAGTATGGCTTGGGGCTCGTTCTTGGTTGGGTGGAATATCTGGAGGTGGTAGAGGGGGCATAAGAAGGTTTCTTTGGAGCAGAGCATTAATCAGGGCTTGGTTTTGCTCGGCCATGCGGTTAATGCTGTTGGTAAGCTCGATGAAATATTGTGGTGGGTTGTTTGGATTGGGGGGATCGGTCTGAGGGTCGGCAGCATTATGGTGAGAAGCCATGGATCTAGTCGTGACCATACACTTTGATGGGTAGTAGGAAAGGGTTATTGGGACAGGGTCTCCGGCGACAATGAGCACAACTGGCGCGCGGAGCAAAGCTTTCCCACAGACAGCGCCAACTGATGATACAGTTTGTGATGGTTAGATGGGTCGAACTAGTCCACGCTCCTCAAGCCTATGTCCGAATTACCCAGCCCGCCGGAAGACCTGCACAAGAGTTCAATGGGGAATGGGGAGTCCCCCAGCGAACCCTTCCGACGAGCAAGTTAGAGAGAGAAGTGGAGAATGTAGATAGATTAGAGATAGAAAAGTTTAACCTTCTACATGTCTTCGACGTCTACTAATATCCTTTGGTAATCATTACGTTGTCTCTTCCGACTTGTCACCTTGGCCGAAAGTCTATGTTGTAGCTTACCTTGTTCAGGGTGAGGGCGTGTTGTCCCGACGGAGAGGGGTTATCGCAATAAATGCTGTAAGGGGGCCTCATTAATGGCGATGTGCAGTGGCAATAACTTTGCAGATCTGTGTCTGCTGATGTGGCATGTCCTTTTCTTGCCATGTGTCTTGATGTCATTGGTTCTAATTGCTACATGGGGCTTCGGCAGTGCTGGGCTTCAGCATTTGAGATATGTGTTGGGCCCTAAATGGTGGGCTCTAATCTTTATGGGCTTACCCATGTCAAGCTTAATGTTAGGAAATTTGGAAAGGTTGCATGGCTAATTTCAGTGAAGTCAAATCTTCAGAAGAGGAAAAGGATGTGAATGGCATACATGGGGATACTTTATTTATTTATTTTTTTATAAAAAAAATTATCTCCAAAGTTCCACACTTGTAGTCCACCAAAAATCCCTCAATTTCTGTGTAGCTTCTATAGTTTTAATAGTCTGTATAACGTTTCTGGTTTTGATCCAACCCATTTGATGTTTTGGATCTGAGTTTCATTGTCTTATATAGTTGTTTGTCTTGTTTCCCCTTACTTCTCTTTGAGTTTTGTTGTTAAGATGTGTTGGTGGCGCTTGGAACGAATTGGTAGCTTGTTTTTTAAACTGTTGCTGTCTAGAATTATGCTTCTTCGCTCGAGTGACACTTCTTGCACTCGAGCGGTTTTTGTGAACTTTCAGTACTTTTGCAAGCCTGCAGAGATATTGGGAGTTGGCATTTTCCGCTTGAGCAGTGTTGGCTCAAGCGGTCTTTATTGAGCTCGAGCGGTGGTCTTCTGTCTGCCAAACTTATGGGAGTTTGTATTCTTGTGCTCGAGCAGTCCCATTTTTTGTATCTGGATGTTCGAGCGACACTTCTTGCACTCAAGTGATCTGTGCATATATCAGTTCTCAATATCACTTTTTTGAGTCACTTTTTCACCCATCTCTCTCTCTAAACTTTTCAAAACCGTAGATCCACTCTATCTCTCTCTAAATCTCTACTTCTATCCACAAATACACCTAGATCCGTCGAGCTCTTCACTTATATCCCTTTGTTAAAAAGATAGAGCTCGACGAGAGTTTCGTTCTAATCGGAGCAAAGTTGGTTGTCGTTGTCTTTGAGTTTCTTACTCTCTCTCATCTTCTAAACTTGAGGTAGGGATTCTTCACACCTTCTATGAGTCTTAACTAAGTTATTTGTGATTTCTAAACAATATTGCGATTTTGGAAATTTTTGAAATAAATCTAGGGTTTTGGGTTAAAAATCAAAAGGGTGGTTTTTCACAATGGATTCTTGGAAATGTTGTGGTGTTGGAAATAAAGTTGAATTATGATAAAATGGTTGATTTTGATACTTGGGATTGATATTGGAAGAAAAATGGGTTTTGCCCTAATAATGTCAAATGTTGATTTTATATAAATTATGGAATTGGTGTTGGAAATATGAAATTGGATTGGTTTTGATGAGGATAGGGGAGTTGCGTATGTATTATCACTCACATTTTAAAAATTCAGAAAGTTTATCTTTATTGAAAATTGTTTACCTATTTAGAAATATCTGTTTTGGACTACCGGTGGAAGATAACTATGATTGTTGTAGAAATTACATGAGAATTAGGAAAATTAAAACTATTTTCTCATCCATTTGCATCGGGCATTGTTTCATATTTATACATTGGAAATGTTTATCCTTTTGACGAAAAGGGGGTGAATCTGGGAAACATGTATTTTCTCATTGAAATAAGTTGGCTTGAGTGTCCATGGTAAAAGTCTTAAAAACCACGTGTATACACGGATGTCGATCCCGCGGACGAAATTTTCATGAAATGGTAAAAGTAGTGCTTATACAGCTTACGTTTACGTGGGTACCAGTTTACGGTTTCCCGCGAACGAAATTTCCGTGAAAGGTTGTATTTGTTTGAGATTCCTAGAGTGTGATTCACTGCCCTATTTTCTATTGTGAAGGAAATGATTTGTGAATTATGATATTAATGTAGCATTACATAGTTTTGGAAAAAGATATAAAATGTTTTGGCACGAGCATTGCATATGCATTCACCTTATAGCTTTGTTAAAATTTATATACTATGTTAGATTATTTCCACTGGGCTTTGGCTCACCCTATGTAGGAAAAACATTTCATGTGCAGATGATATGCCTCCGCCAAGGCAATAGCTTAGAAGGACTTGGAGCAAAGGCTTCATTTTGTTGATTTTGTATATGTTTTGTACAGGCCAAGGGCCTTTAACTGTATTTGACTTAATCTACTTTTGTTGTCACCAAACACCGTCTTGGAAAGTTGCAAGCCTTTAGGGCATTTATTATCTGTTTTACTTTCATATCTTATCTCTTATTGTAACACATGATATAGATTCAAGGTTAGACTTGTGAATGTATATCTGCATATGTTACTATATTGTACAAGTAATTAAGATTAATGGAATATAACTATTTATCACAGGTTATTATGTAATTAATATTGGGGATGATTTATAGCAATTATTTCGAGACGTCACAGTCCGAACGTGTAATTAATTATTTAATTCATTAGAATATATCAAAATAATAAAACATAACATTTTAACACAAAATATATATATATATATATTAATTAAGAACCTCAGTGTGTTAAAAAACAGAGCATGTTCCAGCCGTATACAATGTTTCATAAAGAAACAATCCGTAAATAAACCAACAATGTCCAGAACCCAAACCAAAGAAATATATATATATATATATATATTTAAAAACACAATGAAACTTAATTGCATGATTTCCAATAATGACCATGATACAACCATGCTCTGATACCACTTGAAGCAGACATAATATAAGAACTTTAAACTCTGATCGTGTACCATGTAAATTATCAAGAAATCAAAACAAAACATAAGTACCCGAATCCATTGTTATAGTTGAATGGAAGCGTGATTGTCAATACATCCTTTGATTTTGCCTTTGTTATTGCCTTCCAATCCTTTCCGGTTCGTTTATCTTTATCTAAATTCTATAATATATATATTATTTATATATTAAATAATATATGAATATATATAAATACATTATTTATATATTAAAAATATATAAATATATATAAAAATAATAATATAAATACATTTTTTATATATTAAATAATATAAATAATATTTTTTATTTAAATATTTATATTTAAATAATATTAAAAAAAAATTATCGAGCCGAATCGAGCTGAACTCGAATTTTATTAAAATTAACGAACCGAATCGAGCCGAGTTCGAGTCCAGTTCCTTATCGAGCTGAGTTCGAGCTCAATAAACGAACTCGATAAATAAACGAGCCGAGCTTGAGTTCAACAAAGCTCGGTTCAGCTCGGTTCATTTGCAGCCTTATATTGGTGATCCTTATCCCTCGTCATTCTCTCTCTCATTCACTCAATACATTTGAGACTTTTCATCTCTCTCTCTCTCTTCCTCATCTCCTTCAATATCCATTCAATGCCTTTGAGATTTTTTCACTCTCTTCTGATTTTTTATTGTCCTCATCTCTTTCTATCTTTTTTTCCTCACTTACAGACTTCTCTTTCCATTACTAGTCTCTTACAATGGTTCTGTCTCCTCTTATCAATCTATCCTCTCTTGATTACCTCCATTAACTAATGTTATCGTGTCGCCGATATTTTTGTCGAACTCGTCACCGTCGGATACTCCTCATCATCAACGAACACAAGAGAAGGCAGAGCATCAGATTTGTAACTATTATGCAGAGGGAAGAGAATTATTTTGGTACATATCTCTTAGATCTGTAGCTACTTTGGCTGTTTTTTTAAGATCTGTAACTATTGGGGTTGATTTCTTTTAGATCTGTAAATATTTTGATAAGATCTCTTAGATTTGTAAATATTTTGACATATATTAGATCTGTATGTGTATTAATTTTTTTTTTAAATCATCATCCACTCCTATTGATGTATTCTTCATTGCACCCGATCGACACCGAATGCCAAACCGAGATTTTGAAGGAGCGGGCAATCGAGAACAGATGTGAAGTTTTTCAACCCGAGAGATTTGGTATAGTTGACCGGCCAATAGCAAACCTAACCCAATCTGACCCATGCACCACCCTAATCTTTACAATATTAAATCGGAAAGAAAAATGGTTTGTAAGTACCAAAGAATAAACTTACGTACGAATTTAAATAAATTAGTGTTCTAATTTTGATTAAATAAACTTTCCTAAGCCTCTAATAATATAAATAAAAATTTAAATTGGATCGGTCTTTACATAATTTGGGGGTGTTTGAGAAGATGAGTGGGGCTAAAATAGTCTATTAAACGACAAAAGAAGACAAAATAGTTAATAAGATAAAATATCACATCTAATTCATAATTATTTCACTTTTTCTCTCATAATTATCAAATCAACTACAAAAATAAAAAAACTTAACTAACTCTTCAAACATAACTATTTTAACCAAAGTCCGGATTCTCGGCTGCCCTACCCGGCGGCCGTTTCCAGCAGCCCCCAAAACGACGTCGTTTTGGGGGCAACTCATGAATTAAGAATTCTCACAACAACAAGGTCTACTTGACATGAATTTGGTGTTAATGAAACTTTTCACAGGAATATTTCAAAAAAGTATTAACTAATACTAATATTATCAACTAATCAGAGTGTTTTATTATTAGACCATGGTATTTGATTCGCCAAATACATCATTATTGTATACTCTTTCATATATATGGCGCAACCCAATTCTTATTTTTTACTCCCCTTTTTGAATCGAAATACCTAAATAATAAGAAATTCCCTCTTGACAGTGGTATATGTTGTATATGTAAATCCTAGATGTGAAAATATGCGGAATTCATCTATGAAAAGGTATAAAAAAGAAAAAAAAAAAACGAAAAAAAAGAAAAAAAAAAAAAAAAAAAAAAAAAAAAAACGCCAAAACGACGTCATTTTGGGGGGCTGCCGGGTAGGGCGGCCGAGGATCCGAATTCTTTTAACCAAGTTAAAATAGCTAAAAAGTCAAATAGCCAATTAATAGAATAGCCAACTTTCTAAACAAGTCTTTTGTTAATAGAATGTGTAAATTTACCTTTATGCCCTCATGTTCTTCCTCTTCTCTCTTTTAAATTAAACCTGCAAATATAAACACACACACACACACCTATTTTCTTTCTTCTTCCTTCCATGCTACCAACTCTATTATATAAACCTGCAAATTGCATATATATAATCTGTATATATACCAACTCTAACTTACATACATATATATATAAACCGACAAATCATATAACAAACATATATACATATATGCACAGTGAATAATATATATCACAAACCCAGTTGATTAAATTACAAGTACAAGCCGGTGGAAGATGAACTTCACCAAATAGAACTAGAAAGATGTAAACAAATCAGAGAGAGAGAAACAAATGGTAATTGCATAGAAAATGTAGAGAGAGAGAGAGAGAGATGTAGATTTTCTATTTTATTGGATTTGAATTTTTTTGCCTTGAGTAAGTGATTAGCATTTGGGTTATCCAGGTTTCTTGATTTCATCTCGTTTTCCTCTCCTTCCTAGCACATGTTGTTCCCTCTTGAACTTTAATTTTATTTTTTCCATATATATGCAACAAGTTTACATGTACTTCCGAGGCAGTGGCAACACTGCAAATATGGGAAATAGAGGGGTTGTAGAGAAATATACCTTTGGGTTTAGAAATTTGAGTGATTTAATCTTCAAAATCATATCTTTCTCAAGAAACTTTCAGGGTTTGATTTATGAAATTGATCCTTTTTCCAGGGAGATTTTGAGTGGTCCGTTAGTTTGGGGCCATCACCGTTGCCTGGCCTGGCCGCCTAGCCTCACCATCGTCGCCATGGTGTATGGGTTAGGGTCCAAATCCCTAATCCAAACCGCCTGGGATCATGAAAGGTAGAGGAATGGTAGGGTTGTAATTTTAGAGAAAGAAGGAGAAAGAACCATGGCATGCCATCACAAATTTAAAGATGTTTAATGGGTATTTTGGTCTTAAAATGTAGCTCACTCTCTGTATGGGTGTTTGAATTACACAGTCTGTTAACTTGGATAATGGACGGTGCGTTTTAGTCCACAAACCACATGGGAGTTATGTGGTGATTTCTGAATGTCAGGGAGTAATCGGCACCTGGCTCAAACCATAGGGTAAAGTGAAGTTAGCCCAATAGTTTATTTCCAAACAACCCCTTAGAATAGTAATCTGTCTACATATAGAGAAGTTATTGGTTGGTCCAGGGACAGTGAGTATAGCGATCCCGGGTTTACCCTTGTTGTTGTACAGTGATCCGGACATGTGTCCGTGGTTGTTGGTAGTTGTTTATTATCTTGTTTGCATCCTTTTTACTTTGTATATTGAGTATAGGATGTGTTGACCAGGTTTGTTCAGGTTGGTTGTATTTGGGAGCCTAGTGTTGCTGCCCAGATTTTTGGACCTTCGCTCGAGCGAGGAGTTGGTCGCTCGAGCGAGAGTTGAGTTTGTGTCTGGTGGGTCGAGCCAGAGTGGCTTCGCTCGAGCGAGCGCTTGCGTCTGGTTCTGGACCTGAGAGTTGTGTTTCCTGGCTCGAGCGAGCTTTTCTTGGCTCGAGCGGTCTGGGTTTGTTCTTCGCTCGAGCGAGAGGTTTGTCGCTCGAGCGAGAGTGCTGGTTGCAGACCTGAAGGTTTGAGTTTTTGGCTCGAGCGAGGGTTCCTTGGCTCGAGCGATAGTTTTCTGTGTCTGGTCGCTCGAGCGACCAAGTCTTCGCTCGAGCGAGCGTGTTTTATATCAGCGGACAGTAGCGATTTTAAACATCACTTTTTCACTCCTTTCTTTGATCTAAACCTAAATCCGAGGCTCTCTCTCTCTACACTTATATTCTCTCTAAGATTTGATCTCCCTAGAGTGTGAATCTAGCCTAGGGCTTTTGTTAAAAAGATAGAGGGCATTGAGAGCTTTGATTTAATCTGAAAAAGTTTGGATTTGGAGCACGTTGATCTTCGAGTCTTCATCTCCGTTTTGGCTTAAACTTTGAGGTAGGGATATCCTACTCCTCTCTATGGATTTTGTCTTTAAATTTTGGTATTTTGAGATGTTGGGGTTGGTTTGGTAATTTTGTGAAAGTTTGGGGCTTTTGTGTAATTTTACAAAAGTTGGGGTTTTATTCATTATAAACCTAGATGCATGCTTGGCATAGAGAAATGGAATGAACGTTAAATCATTGATGAAAATGGGACCTAAGGGTTGAAATGGTAATTATGGGAATTGACCTAATTACATTGTTTAATTAATTGGGATAATTAATTGTGAGGAATGAGGAAATGTAATGTTGATTGAATAACCATTGTGCATTTATTTTCTGTTTAGAAATAACTGCTTTGGGCTATCGGTGGAGGATAGTCGTGATTGTTGTAGACAATGCATGATGATTAGGCAAACTGAAACTAATCAATGGAATGTGTCATGGAACTTGACGGTTGATAGAATACATTAACTGTATGTATTGTGTGATTGTATATAGAACCAATGTGTTTGTATACGTTATGTGTAGAGGAGGAGATGGGGGATGTACTCCGCGGTTTAGGGGAAGATGGGGGATGTACCTCTAAACCGGATAGTGTTGGGAGAAGATAGGGGATGAACTCCGAAGATAGAGCTCATATGCTTATCTTGGTGAAGTGTGGATATAGCTTATATGCTTGTCTGTGGATATTGTGATTATACATATCTGTTGTAGAATGTGGATATAGCTTATATGCTTATCTGTGGATATTGTTGTTATACATATCTGTTAAGAATGTGGTTAGTGCTTTTATGCCTATCCGTTGAAAAAGGGAAAATGAAAGGTAATTAGGACTCATAAGTCGTATGGCATAAATTTGTGATTTATGTGAATGTATCAGTGTTGGCCATCTATCAATTGCCAATGTTTTAGTCATTGTTCATGGTTGGTTTAGTGTATTTCTACTGGGCTGTGGCTCACCCTATATGGGAATATCATTTTCAGGTACAGGAAGCATGCCACCTCCAAGGACATAGCTTGGGAGGCTAGAGGCGGACATACCGTTGTCGTGCTTACTTTTTGATGTGTTACATGTAAACTCAAGCCAAGGGCTTAACGTGTATGAGTTAGCACTCTTTTTGTTGTAACCAAGTGTTAACTTGGAAAGCTGTAAGCCCGTAGGGCATTTTGCTTTTGTTGTTAACATGTAATACTTATGTAATAGAATCCTGATGTAATGATAGAATGTGGAACTTGTGAATATCAATGCCTGTCTTATTTAATGGGTTTAATGCTATTATTTTGAGGGCGTTACGGTGAGCATAGTGCTATGTGCATTGTGATTGGTGGAGGATGGTAGGACCTACGATTTTGCGTTGGACAATTAGAGAACACAAGGAGACATGGTAATTTGTGATTGATCAGGAATATAGCCTTTTGGTGTCCCTAAAGCAACCAATAATTTTTCATAAATATAATATTGGGAATAATGTAGCCCATGAAAATGCATCAACTTGTTTAGTTTGGATTTTCAGGATTTACTTTTCAGAAATTGAAATTTTTTATTTTTCTTTTTTTTTCACTGATTTTTTTTTTAATTTTTAGATCCATCTAACATAAATACACTTAAAAAGTATAATATTTGTGAAAAATAGAAAATTCACTAAATACCAAAAATATATTTTAAAAAAAAACTAAAATTCAGTACATTTTCGTATTCTTGTGTATTTATTGATTTTTTAAAAATATTTTACTTTTTAGATATATGTAAGTAAAGTGCATTTAAAAAAGTAAAAAAATTACTTAAAATTTTAAAAATATTCACTAAAAATAAAAAAATACGAAAAATAAAAATATTAATTTTTTAAAAATTGAAACCAAATACTGATTAAATTTTTCTATTGCCAATTATTATTCATCCTTGGAAATCCTCTTCCAAATTTTTTTGTGGTAAGCCTACAAATTTATCACTACTGACATGTAAAAGTCTTTTCCTTCATTTGTAGATTTTGAAAAATGATGGGTTTGTTTGGTTTGTTTTTGGGAGAGTAGTTTTTGAAAATTATTTTAGAGAGAATTTAAAAAAAAAAATTGATTTGTTTAGTTGTGTATTTTGAAAGTAGTTTTGGAGTTTGGGAGTTTGTAATGATTTGACATTTTATTTTAATTGAGTAGATGTGTGTGAGAGAAAAAGTGATTGAAAATGAGAGAGGAGAGAGAAAAAGTGATTGATTGATAGGTAAGAGAGAGAAAATGATTTTAAAAATTATTTTAAAAAATTTACAAACCAAACAAATTTTCTAAATTTTTTTTTCCTAAAATCACTCCAGAAATTCAAACCAAACATACGCGATAATTTTAGCATTATACTTGAAATGTTAATATGCCACAAGATTGAGTAGGCTAAGTCTGATAAAAAAAATGAAATAAAATAAAATAAGAGAGAGGATAAGTCAACTCAATCTAGAATAGTTTGAAATGACTTATTTAGTGATTTTTTTAGTTATTTTAAAAAAATACGTGCAAAAAGATAAAGTTATTGTGCCTGTTTGGTGCAGTTTAAAAGCTGCTTATTTCAGCTTTCAGCTTAATTTAAGTTATTTTGATGTATTTGGTTTAACTTAACAGTGCAGCTTATACCTTTTTGTAAGTCAGAAATCAGCTTATTCTTTGAGTGGACAGGAGATGCTTAATTTATAAAGCAGAAATCAGTTTATATTCATAGTTATAAGCTATAAGCTGTTAAGGCATAAGTTATAAATATTTTCTCACAACTCTACCAAACAGGGTCATTATATGACAACTTGTACTAATAAGCTAATAAACAACTTATTTAAGGTCTCGTTTGATAAGTGGTTTTTTTAGTTAAAAAATCAAAAAATTATTAAAAAAATCAAAAAGTCAACAACTCATATAAAAAAGTCAAAGATTCTATTTTCTCTCTACTTTTTGCACATCTTTTCGTAACAAGTTAAAAAGTCATCCCAAACATATTAGTTTTTTTTAACACATATTTTAGCCAAATAATCAAAAAATTACTAAAGTAATCTGTTCCCGAACGAGGCCTAAGTAGTTGTCAAAACACCTAAATCAAATCTAATATGTATAGTATATAAACTAGGCTTTGCCTAAATATTTACTCTCTTTCTTAAGTAGAATGTAAGTGGGGTTGTTCTTAAGGATTGTTTAGGATGAGCTATATAAGTGTACTTTTTAATTTTTTGGCTAAAAAAATAGAGAAAAAAAAGATGTATATTTGAGATAATTTTTTGACTTTTTATGAAAAATGCGTATTAAAATATTGTATCAACTAGCAAATTTACCTTCCTACCCTTTTGAGCACTGGCCAGTTGTTCCGTGCATGTTAATGACTGTGCTGTGCTGCACTGTCTGTTAGTGTACCGCGTCGGTGCATTATGCTGCACTGTTTTGAATTCTTTTTTTCACCAAAAAGTGCACTGTTAGAAAGGGAGTGTACCAAGGGCATTTCTGTCTTTTTATAAATTGTCTATTCAGACTTTTATTTCCCGTCCAAGCATGTAAATAGTGTTAATTATTTTACTTTTTTTTGTGACTTTTTAACTTTTTATAGGAGATCTCAAACACCTACTTAAATTTTTATTATGCCATGGCACAAGGGCATTTAGAGTTAACCGCCCATTTTGAACATATATAGTGTCCTACTCATTAACAAAAAAACTCATCAGCTTAATCAATATATAAAATGGCTAATTCCCGAGTCTGGATGATCTGTGGTTGTTTTCTACAAGGATCCTTGTAATGCTTACACAACGACGTCCATTTGGACTATTTTTTTTTTTTTGTCCCTTCTTTTTTTCCTTGTTGCCTTTCTTCTTGTTTGTGTTATATATTTCTTTCTTGCCCTACCCAGAACCCAACCAAAAGTGAAGTGACCGTGGAATACAGCAAACAACGACCGACAACCAGCAAACGACGGATGACCAGCGAGAATCTGCTAGTAGTAAAATTGATATGCTTTGCTGGATAGTTGAGTATATATGTATGTATATATATGTTGTTGTGGTGAGGGAAGTTAGTTGTGTGTAGTGGCAAAGATAGCATTTTAATTCAGTGGGGCAATAATAAATTGTTATGTCTACAATACTGTTCTCACCCTGTCTTACTTCAACCCAAAAAGAGGAAAAAATGCAAAGAAAATGATCAAAGACCTTGAAGAACAAGATTTTGAAATAATCTATAATGAAGAAATTTCTTATGAAGAGGAAATCTTATACGAAATTTCTAGTGATGAAGAAAGTTCAGACGAAGAACTAATCTTTATGATGACTAATATAGATAGTCAAGAAATATCTCAAGAAGCAAATAGTATATCTCAAGAAGACTTACAAGCAATCCGACTTGGAGATGTAATTGGAGAAGAAAAAACTTTTATCGAAGAAGAATTAGCAAAATTCAAAAAAATGTAAGAAGTTGTTGTACTAGAAATTTACAAACTTTCAATTGACGAATTTTTACTAGTATAAATTGTTCCAGAATAACTTTGTCCGTAAGTGTTATGTAAGTCTAACCAAGTTAGGTATGCATTAAGTCTTTGGTTTTTGTTTGTATCCATCAAATGTAACATTTTCTTTAATTTGTTTAATTAAAACAACATCCTATGTTGTCTATTCGAAAATAATATTTTTCCTTAATTTGGTTAACGAAGGAATTTCTATTTTTGAAAGATTTTTGATAAAATTTTGTTCATAATTTAAAATACCTAATAAACTCTGTAATTGTCGTATATTTTCAGGAGTATCAGGAAAGTCTCGTACTTTAGACAAAATATGTTCTTGTAATTTTAAACACTTCTGGTCTAAAATTATTCTCAAAAATTCAATTGATTCTTTATCTAGTTTAATCTTTTTAGGTGATAACATAATTCCATATTTTTGGAATTTTTCACAAAGTAATTTTAAATATTTCTTATGCTCCTCCCGGGTTTTAGAGAATATAACTATGTCATCAATATAAACTACACAACAATCTTTAAGATCTTTAAAAAATTGTATCCATCCACCGTTGAAATACCTATGGTGCTATATTTAACCCAAAAGGCATAACATTCCAGTAGTAATGTCATCTAGGTGTACTGAAAGTTATTACCTTTTTTGATTTTTCAGTTAATTTTTTTTTTTTGTAATTTTATGCATACCTAACTTGGTTAGACTTACATAATTTTATGGGTAAAATTTACAAGTTTTTTTTTTTGAAACATTTGTTGATTTCTTTTTTCAAATATACTTTTTCTTTTTTGAAAAAGTTTGTTCTTTTTCTAAGGTTTCCATTTATATGTTCTGCGCTTTTTGGAAAACCATTTTCGCTTGGGAAATGTACTACAACCAATTTTTCAATTTTCTTTTAAAATTTTATTACAACATTTTTGACCATATTGTGAGTTGGAAATTTGATTTTTTATTTATTTTTTCGCCTTTGCTTCTAGACACCGATATGATATCAGTCTTAGAGCATAATTAATGCGAAAACTAAGATTATCATATTCTTCTTTCCCCATTTTTTTGAGAAAGTCAGGATATATTTTAATACATAATTCATCCCATGGATTAGGGAGTGTAGACACTCTATTTTTGACCGCCCTTAAGACTTGGGCGCTACTGATGGTTTATTTGGTGGTGAAAGATGTGCAGAGCAAAAGTTCAATTTCTTCGGCAAGAGGAGAGTCAAATCCCAACCTCACACCCTATTTTGGACCAAAGCTGTTTTGAATGGTTTTTAGACCTTAAAACCCTCTCTTTCAAAATATTTTTGAAATAAAGTTTCTACGATGCTCTGAGGCTCGCATTTTGTTAAATGTTGCGCTTTTCGGTAAACCGAGCAAGGACAAAATGAAAATGAATGAAAGAGAGATGAAATCTTTCAAAAATCTTTCAAAAAACCTTGTATAGAGGTTTGGAGTTGAAGAAAAGAGGAGTAGAGGGAAGAAACCCAGTTGAGGAAGGAGTTGGGCATGAATCGTTAAGAGAGAGTCAAGCAACCCTCGCTAAATCAAGCCTATCCTTTTGAATACTTGGATTTCAGATATGAGGCCACCACCGTTGGAAATCTTACTTCTAGGGCTTCATTTTTCACTTAAGAATCTCCTAAAGTCGAGTCCGGATAGGGGAGATATGATTGGTTGAAGTTGGGCATCGTCGCAGTTGGACCGAAACTGAGCAGTTTTCACTAAAAGAGGGATATCTCTTAGCACACTTGGAATTTTGAGGTGAGGCTTCCAAATTTGGAAAGAAGACTTCCGGGGCTACAGTTTAGGCTCAAGAATGACCTGAAAATGAGTCCAGATGAAGGAATTGGGCTTGCTTCAAGTAAAGGACCAGGATTGATTTTTTCCATCGGCCTCTATGGAAGTGCATCGGCCACAATTGGACCTCATTGGCCATAGGTCGGCCAAAAGTGAACCTTATCGGCCACAAATGTTGGCCGATCGGCCAAAAATGTCCAGAAAGCCTAGAATTGGCAGATATTTCTCCTCCAGTTGTTTCCAGCTTATGTCACTTGTCCCAAATCAGATATTTCGACCCAAGCTTGATATTTTGCTATATATGAAGCCTTATATCTCATATTCAAAGGGTTAGAAGATTAGAGGATAGATTAGAACAATTTTGGCAAAATATTTGGGAGCCTCTCTTTCTAGAAACTCTCTCTAGATTTCACTATCTCTAAGAATTTTGTGCTTGAAGGGTTGCATACATCCATCTTCAACCTATCAACCCTTAAGAAGACTTGATCACCATTGGGATGAGGTCCCTTGGAACTTGTTTTGGGCTGCTAAAGCTTGGTTTTAACTCAGAAATCTTGATGTTTTGCTGTTTGGCTTCAAGGGTAAGCACTTGTCCCTCTAAAGCTTTGCTTTGCATGCTTGTTTTACCACCTTTGCAAACTGTTTTTGGCGTGGTTTTGAACTAAGAAAACTCTATTTTTCAGTCCTAAAAATGATGGTTTAGGCCTATTTTGTGTTAGGGGGTTGTTTCTCTCTTTTGTTCCTTAGCTTGTATAGCTTTTGAGCCATCTTCTAAGGCCTTTCAAAACAAATTTTCGTGGCCTTTTAACCAATGAAATCCAGAGGATTTTCAGTGGTAAAAACCCTATTTCGAGGGCCCAAATAGGAGGGGGTGGTCCCCTCTCCTCTTGTCTTGCTTGCTAGTGTTGATGGCCAACCAAATGAGCATGTGTTTTTACTTCTTTGTGGCTTGTTTAGGCTCATTTTTGTGACTTATCAGACCTGCCATAACTCTATTTTTGGCTGTTTTGGTCACCTCTTGCATGCTTATTGCACTTGTAGTGTAAATCCTCTTTGCTAGTCTTGTTAACCTTACAAAGTAGCATGCTCTTGTGGTTTGAATTAGCTTAGTTCAAACATGTTTTTGGTATTATTTTGACATGTTATAACTCTGATTTTGATTGGTGGACTCACCTCTTGCATGCTTTATACACTTGTAGTGTAATCCATGCTTACTAGTCTAACATGCTTGATGTTTTGGCCAATCATGCTAGCTTATTTTGGCTATACTCCATACATGTTTTAGCATTATTTTGGGCTGTTTTAGGACTGTTTTTGGCTTCCTTGGTCATATGACTCATGTTTTGTATAGCTATAGTGCAAATACCTTGACTAGTCTTGAGTTTTGAGGCCCCTACCATGTTATACTTGTGATGTTTGCATGCCTTGGCATCATTTGGAATGATATTTCAAAGTATATAGTGTTGTTACACTTCCATGTTTTCCACTCTTTAAGTGCTCTTGAGAGTTGTACCTTTATGCCTTATTTGTGAGCCATTGCATGAGCCTCATTTTCTTGCCTTTCAAGCCACCTTCTCAGTCCATTTTGGCTACTGTTTTGGCCTGCATAAGGTCTGTTTGGGGCTGGTTTGGCCATTTGAGCATTGTCTTGCATGCCTCTAGTGTAATACACTTCACTAGCTTTGATGCTTAAGCCTTGCAACATGTATCACATGAGCTGTTTGCATGATTTTAAGTCATTTAGCATTACATTTTAGTGCTGAAACATATGCCATTGTACTCCATGTTTCATCCTTTCAATGCCTTTGGAGAGTTGTGTCTTGTGCCTTAATTTTGCACTAACATGTATGCATGCTTGGCTAGTCCTTGGAGTCTCCATTTCAGCATGTTTTGGCCACTATTTTGGGCATGACTGAGGTTTGTCCATATCTGATTTAAGTCCATCTTGCATGCTTGTTTGCATTACATGTTGTTTGCATACTTGTTGTTTACATGGTTGTTGGCATACCTTTGGCTGTGATAAGTCAATCATGTTGCATTACATTGTTTGCATGCCATTAGCTTTGTTAAGTTGTGCATGCATTACATTGTGTTTGGTTTGGGTGTTAAGCCAAACATGAGGAACGAGGGACGTTTCATATTTGAAGTGATGAAACGTGTCTCAATTCTCGGTCGCCGACCCTCTTGATCATGCATGATAGAGGTCAAGGCATTTATGTGTTTTTGTGCATTCATTTGGCATTGATTTGTGCAACTAGGCCTTTTTAGCCATCATGCATCGAAATGCGTGATTGATGGCTCGAGAGCCGAGCACTATACACCTTTGAGCCTTAGACATGATAAGGGGTGTAGTTGCACACATATTTTCTTGCAAATACATTGCCATGCCTCTGTTTGTGCTCTGTTGCAGCAAAAAGGAGAGTTTGCAGGAAGATATGGTCGATCGGCTATCTGGTGTGCCGATCGGCTATCTGGTGTGCCGATCAGCTATCAATAATTGGTCGATGACCTTTATCCTTTGGCCGATGGCCATACCTCTTGGCCGATGACCACTCAGTATGTCCATGAGGTGAATCAAAAGTGTTTTGGAGATTGGCACAATTTTCAGAAGTCTAAAACAGTGCAAACAGAGGCAACATGAGGCATGGTAACGGATTTCCGAGCGAGGCGATCGAGCATGCATCTTCGAACTCTTAGAACTGAGCCGAGACTTTGTAATTTGTAATTAGCTTTACTTGATTAGTTAGCTTTTGAATTTGTAATTAAACTAGCTAATTTGTTAATTAATTAACATGTTGTAATAATTAGCTTAGTGTTAGCTAGTTATTCAAT